AGGCTCTCACATCACCAAGCGCGAAGCGCCGTGGGGGGCGTTTCCTAATTTTTTTCTCTTCTTTCTCGTTCACTGATAAGACGCGAAAGTAGTGGCGGCGGCTGACCCTCTGCCCGTTGTGCCACCATGTACTGTACCACTGTTGTTGCTCCAGAAAGCGGGCGGGTGTATAGATACAAGCAAGGCGAAGAAGAAGGAAGATAAAGGAACGCAACTGTTTGTATTGTAGAGACCGATCACCAGGCTCCCCTTCTGGCCCAAGCCAAACTTCCCACGGCAGGTTGTGTACGGTTCAAACAATGTCCCGTCTGGCTGACAAAGGCCATTCAGAAGAACCGATGTTGGGACATGCTTCCATGCAAACGCAAACCCTTGCGCTCTGCCTCCCTCTCTTTGTCTGTCTGTCTGTCTGTCTGTCTCTCTCTCTGTCTCTCTCTTTGACTTTGCAACCAGGACCTGGAAAAGTTCGGCGTAGATCCCGAGAACATCATGAACGGCATCCTCGACTCCAACTACAAGGAGCTCATGCGCTACCAGATCGCCCGCGCGAGATTCTACTACAAGCAGGCAGCCAGGGGGATCCCCATGCTGTCCCCGGAGGGACGCCTGCCGGTGCAGGTGACATATATATATTTTTTCTGGCACTGTGGAGCGCGCAAAACTACTCCATCGTTGTTGTCGCCAGAGCCTTTGTTTTTGTGCAGTGTAGAACGCACAACATTCCTTGTCATTAATTGTCGCCAGAGCAATGTGAGCAACGTGACCTGGTACGAAAAACCCGCTCTGAAAACATTTTCTTTTTTTCTTTTTCTCTTTTTAGATTTTTGGAACAGGCCGTGTGCTGCGGCTTGTGCGTCCCGTGCTCTCGCTGCTTCGCGACTGTTGCTGCTGTTTCAAGCTCTGTACGCTCGCTGTACGCTATATACCTTTGGTGTCTGCTTAGCGTGGGCGTTGTTTGGTGTTGTTTGTTTTGCCAGGTTCGGTATCCTCGGATGTCTATCTTCGGCCTTCGCGCACGTCTTAGCCCCGTACGCATGCCGGAAACAACAACAACAACAGCAGCAGCAGCAATACCGAATGATGCAGTGGCCGCCACTCGCCAGTGCTACGCGCTTGTAACCAAGCTTGTTGCTGTGGTTCTTCATAACGTCACTTTCAGCTCCTGCACCTGGTTGACCCATGGCCTCCACACGCGCTTTCTTGTCTCTTTTTTTTTGTTTCGAAAACTCAGGCTTCTCTGGACATGTACGGTAAGATCCTGACGGCGATCGAGGGCAACAACTACGACAACTTCCGCAAGCGCGCGTATATCTCCAAGACGGAGAAGCTGCTGACCCTGCCCTTCTCGTACGCCAAGTCCCTCAATCCGGGCCAGATCAACACGGTCAGTCAGGTCAAGGACAACAACAGTCGGTGATTGGGGGGGGGGGGGGAGACCGAGAGAGAGACCGAGAGACGGAGAGGCAGACAGCGACAGAGACAGCGACAGAGACACACAGACACACAGAGAGAGAGAGACAGAGAGAGACAGAGAGAGACAGACAGACAGACAGACAGACAGACAGAAAACATCGAATCAAGTACTGAACCGGATGGATGGGTCAATATTGCACCCCCTCTTTGTTGACCCGGACATGCCAACCCCTCCGTCCCTCCCTCACTCCCTCACTCCCAGAACATCGACGACAGCGAGTTCAAGTTGACCCGATTCGACAAGCTGGAAATGGAGCGCGAGTCCTTCCCCGCGGGAGAAGACGACGACCAATTTTAAAGGGATCGATACTGTTAACGCCGCCCGGGAGAAGTAGAACAATACGCCGGGATTGGACGATGGGGGGGGGGATCCGAAGAGAGGGAGGGGCGTGCGCGGCGAGGGGGGGTCCTTGTTACCATTTCGAAGAGGCGTTTCGTGCACCGGAACCGAGGATGGGGAGGGGATTGGGGGTTGAAAATTGTTGAATTGATGAACTACGTCACTTGTTTCGCTGTTTCTTGATTGATGTGTGAAAACGTTGTCGGACACTCGACCTCGCTGCCTGGGAATTGATTGTTTCGTTCCAGGGTTGTGATTAGACGTAGGCAGCACAGAAGCTTTCGTGAATAGGGGGCGGCGGATTGTGGGGGGAAAATTCTGGGCTTAAGGTCGAAGATAGGGTACTGGCTTGGTGTTGATGTTGCGCGCAACGGGCAGGATGATGATTCGTAAATTTCGGCCCTATTTTTTTTTTTCCTTTTTTGTTTGGGGACGTTTTTTTTTGCTTTCTCTCAGATTGGGTTGCTCGTGCGCCAATTTCGCTGATCGTTTTTTTGTCAGCCGGTGTTGTTGCAGTAGAGTTGGGCAGGAGATCTGTTTTTTGTGTGTTTTGGTCTCCAGCTGGGGAGGGACCTCAAGCGTTTTGTGGACGATGATACTTAATCGCGATCTGATTGGGTGCAGCAGTAGTTTTTGGCACGGGAAAGAGTGCACGCTTTTGTGTTAAGCATACGTGGAATTTATCCGTGCAAACGGGAGGTCGTTATCTGCTCTTCTTTTCGTTGATATTTCTACATGTACCGCGAAATATATCACCATATACCTGAAGACACTCTCGAAAATTAATTCTGCATGTTGCAATTAATTACGTGCGCGGTTGATGCGGCCGGTGAACAACTGCTGCTGTGGAAAACTATCCAGAGACCCTGTAAACCCTTGGTTGGCGGTCCGTTTCATGTGCTCGGCGAAGGACGTAGGAAATTCGCCCGCCCACTATTATATCTCGGATTCTTGGTAAAGAGGGTGGGGGAGGGGGACAGATAAAGACTAAAAAGCTGGCTTCGAACCGGTGCAAAAAGTGAGGCAGACCGCTTCGGGAAAGATTAAGGGCTGTGCTATCACACGCGGTGTGCTATTTATCTTTATGGTATGTCCCGGTGATCGCTCGATTGAAACTGGCCGTGTTCGCTACGTGGATATGACTACGATCGTGAAGGGCGCAGGAGGTCAGAAAAGTCTGTATGGCACTCGTGTATTTAGTTTGTGCGTTTGCCATGTATAGCCCACTGCTGTTGTGCGCATTTTGACGAACCACCGTGGTGTCTGACGAACAAAGCGATGACGCTTTTGGGAGACGAAAAGGAAGTGCTACGCTGCTTTCAGCTCGTCACACCCACCCCTGGCCGCTGCTGCAAGCCATCTAATCTACACCAACAAAACCCGCGCGACTTTGGTTCGTGTTTCCTCCAAGTATTTGTTTCTTCGTTTTTCAATGTTTTGACTGAAAGTATGCTTTATCTTCGTCTGCTGCCCCAACGCCTTCAAGCCCCTTTCGGATTCTTCAAGTGCTGTTTTTTTTTCTTTGCGAGCCAAACCACGTGCGTTGCGTCCCACGAATCATGCGGACATTTTGCTCCACATATCCCATCCTGGTCGATTTATCTCGCCTCAAACCTGCTCAAGGCACCTGCAGCTCCCGCTCGATACTTTGTCAGCACATGAGAACAACAAAAGCTGGGTGGTGGGTGGTGGCTCCCCCAAGAGCGGGATGCAATCAATGGCGTCTACGAAGCCTACGAATCACGTGTGTACACGTGCGAATAGACGAACATGGGTGGGTGGGTGGTGGTTCCCCTAGAGCTGGAAGCAACCGCGTCTACGAAGCACGTGTGTGTGTGTGCGTGAACCCCGTTCAAATAGCTCCATGTTTTTTTGTTGTCCATTTTTGGCATGGGTTTCCCGGGCTTCGAAACGAAAACGCCAAAGACAGATACTGACTCAAGGTTACGCCGACACTTGGGTCAGTTCACTCAACTCGGCCGGCCTGGCTGCATAGAAGTAGCAGTGAGTGCCGTGCTTTCGCCGTCTCTTGCTTCGCCTATATCTCTGTTCAACCAGCTGTCTGTCCAGCCCAACGTCGACGTTTCACTCTACCGTCGCTTTCAGTAGACTACAAAGACTACTCCCGGTGGTTCAGTAAACTATCGCGAGTCACTACTGTCAGTCTCTTTTGGTCGGGCACGAACAAAAAACAAGGAACAACAAACTAAAAGTCCTACACTAGAAGTAAATAGTCATAGTTGGCCTTTGCACCACTGCTGCCGCTGCTGCCGCTGCTGCCGCCGCCGCCGCCGCCGCTGCCGCCGCCGCCTCCGCCGCCGCCTCGCATCGTTTGCCTTGCCCCGTACTTGTACGTCGCCGCAAGAGCGCCACTCTCTCAAGGTGTACGTGAGAAAGAAAAACGTGCCCACAGTTTTCTGATTGGCCGAAGTGTTCCCGTTAAAATACTGCTGCTGTGCTTGACCACGGTCCCCGTCGAGTGCTTACTTTACCCCCCGCTGGCTGGAATACGCTGACACGCTGCCGCCGCCGAGAACCCATTTTCTTTTATGTCTACCTCTCCGTGGGCTCCCTAGCTAAGGTTGCGCCGCCGCTTTGAGGGCGTGACCAGCTAGCAGCAGCCGCCTAGATGGGCTCCGCGTAAACCTGCTCCCCGCGCTCCGCCCGAAGCTGCTCCACCTGCTCTCCAAAACAAGCAAGCAAAAACCGCGACGTACGCATAAATACCAGCACGGAAAAAATCAGGACCGATTTCCGTTGTCGTACGATCAGGCAATAAACACACCCAACTCGAGTATGGCGAGTGTCGGGGTGGGGGCGGCTTATTCTTGTGTTGTGCATGCCTGTGCGGTGAGACCATTGGCCACGCGTTCTCGACAGGACGAAGCATTGCTCCCACAGGGTAGTATATACTGTTGCGTAACGTGACAGAGAGATGGTTGTCAAAAGGGGATGAGTCAAAGTCTTTTGCAGCTGATTACGAAGCCACAGGGTGTTCGGACATCCCCCAGTACCGTACCGTACCACCTCCGGAGGGAAAACACAGTAAGAAAACACCCTCCTTCCCCGACATACATGATACACTGGGGGTATATTCGCGTTTGGACAAACGGTCTGAAAACGACGAATGCCTCTCCAGGATTCTCTCGTCAGACGCCCAGATTCCAACCACCGTTTCAACTCCCAAGCGCCTGTTAATTACAGTCGCTCTTCACGCTCCTAATCAGTGTGAACATTCTATGTTATTTTCAACCTCTATTTGGTAGGTACCGAATCCCTTGTTTCTTCGTGCACCCTTGGCCCAAACAAGAAGAAAAAAAGACGCAGTGCGGGAACACTGCTATTGTCTCCCATGTCTCTCTAACGATCATTCCGCCGCCCTCGGTCCCGAGCGATGAGCCAAATCGCCTACATAACATCGAAACCCCTCCTTCATTACGCGCCTCAACCGAACATGGTATGAAGGACGAAGCTGCTAGAGAGGGCGAGGACGGCATCCTGATCGAGGTTCTCATGATCATGTGCCTGGCATGCCCGTATATGCTCTTGAGATGATAAGGCAGATCGTAGATCATGTGCCTGGCAGTGTATGCCCGTGTATGCTCTTGAGATGATAAAAGACAGATCGTACCATCCCTCTAGAGAACACCCGGGTGGAGCACTCGGGTGTTCACATGCCAGTCCTGGC